AGCCTGTGCCCCTACCCCTCGTGGCCACCCCTCATCTCCCCTCTTGACCTTCTCTCTCCCTCCATGCCACCCTGGCAGGCTCAACACCACTGTGGCCCCATTGATCTTCGCTGACCAGTTTCTCCAGATATCCACATCGCTCCCGTCGAAGTTCCTCTACGGGCTGGGGGAGCACCGTGGTCCCCTCCTGCACAGCATGGACTGGAACACCCTCACGCTGTGGGCCCGCGACGTGTCTCCCACGGTACCATGTCCACCCTTCCCATGGTGGGGATGCAGGGGGTGAGGACAGGGGGTACCGCTCTCTGCTGCACTGACAAGCCCTGGGAGAGCACATCAAGGGGTGAGCAGCAGAGGCAGGGGGTGGTCAGGGCCGGCAGGCAGACACGTACCAGGAGGATTTCAGTGCAATTGCAAAATGCTCTTGGCACTCCAAGTGCTTTCTGCTCCACCCTGCTGCTCATGCAACATGTTGTGATGAGGCAGGTTTCCCCCTTGCCCAGCCCCGCTTGCTGTCAGCCACCAAGCCGTGAGGAAGAAGCAGCCTCCCAGCTGCTCATCCCTCGTCTTGTCCTCCATGGGGGGTGGCAGCAGATGCAACTTGGGGCCATTTATTCATCCCTGGTGACATGGGGCTCTCCTGCTTTACCTGGGAGCTGCTTTCTCACCCATCACCTCCTCTTTGCAGGAATCATTCAATCTGTACGGTGCTCACCCCTTCTACCTGCTAATGGAGGAAGGTGGAGATGCTCATGGGGTTTTCCTCCTTAACAGCAACGCGATGGGTAGGTGATCTGGGACACCCCAACCAAATTGTCCCTGGAGGAGGACCTGGGGCAGGTGGGGACAGATGGGAGATGCTGGAGCGGACGGTTCAGGAACTTAGGGTGAGAGGAAGCCATGAAAGGGAAAGATGTGGTTTGATAGCTCCGTTACTGAGCGTAGCCATCTGTTTCCTGGCTACTGTGAGGCTCTTTAGCAACTGCCAAGCAGTTTAACCACACACCCAGCTGCCAAGTTGCCATCGGATAAGCAAGTCCCTTGTGTGCGGGTCTGTGCCCGTTCCCCCTCCACCCATGACATCCTTGCCCCCAGGCCTGGCAGTGTGGCACAGTTGGGGCGCAGCCGGCGATGCCGTCTGCCACCCGTGCTGTTCCCAGCTGTGGGATCTGCCATGTGTGCCAGCTGGTAAACACAGCAGCTCCTGCGGGCTCCTGCCATGTCGGGAATGGCACCGGTGACCACCCGTGTCCCCCCCAGCAGCCGCCGCTTGCAGCCAGCTGGGATGATGCTGCGACACTGCATCTCCCACAGCCCCAGCTGCGCTCGCTGTAGTGCAGCGATGCTCCACAGCAGAAGCTCCTGTGAGATGCAGCCACCTGAGCTGAGGTTTGAGGGCTCACTCCTGTGAAAAACCCTTCTAGGAAAGCCATTGCTCCCGCATGCTCACCTCTACAAATAGCTCTTGATTCTCTAAGGACGGGTTTTGGGGGGAGGATGTGAAAGCAAGCCCTGCATGTGCTTGGCCTTTAAGTGGAAGCCGGGAGAATGGTGCAGCTTTAGGCTTAAATAGCAGATTTTTAAGATAGCAACCTCCCAACGTAAACCAGTGATGATTTAAGCCTCCAGATGCCCGTTTAGCATCCACTAAGCGCAAGGCAGGGATTTCTGTGTTCCACTGCCTGTGATGCTGCCTGGTCCCTGCCATGGGGATCAGGGTCTGGGGGCTGCTCCCCAGTTGTCACTGTCTGTTTCTCTTCCCCTCACCAAAGAGGTGGCCCTGCAACCTGCTCCCGGCCTGACCTGGAGGACCATCGGGGGGGTACTGGATTTTTACATCTTCCTCGGGCCTGATCCCAACATGGTCATCCAGCAGTACCAGCAGGTGATAGGTAAGTGCCTGCATCCAATGTGGCCATTTGCCAGCACATTCCCTGTGCCCCATTCCCATCTCACCCCAGCTCCACCACTGTCCCCAGCCCCCCCAGCTGGGGAGGGAGCAGCAATCACCTCCTTTCCCTCCTCTCCCCTTCCCATCCTTTTGAGATGCCAGTGTCATCTTGGGACACCCCATCCATGCTCCTGCTTTCCCACTGCAGGTTTCCCGGCCATGCCGCCTTTCTGGGCACTTGGCTTCCACCTCTGCCGCTGGGGCTATGGATCCAGCAATGAGACCTGGCAGACTGTGAGAGCCATGAGGAACTACCAGATCCCCCAGGTAACTAACTCCTCAGACCCATGGAGGGGGTGGTCCAGGCTCTGTGACCCATCCCTGAGCCTCTGTCCCGCAGGATGCGCAGTGGAATGACATCGATTACATGGATGGGTACCGGGACTTCACCTTCGATTCCCAGAAATTTGCCTCCCTCCCTTCGCTGGTGGAAGACCTCCACAAACACGGGCAGCACTACGTTATGATCTTGGTACTCCTTCTCCTCCTCTCCCCCTGTGCTGTTTTGGCTGCAGAGCCAGGATGTGAGGTAGAGGCATAAGAGAGGCTTGTGGTCATCTCTGGCCCTGGGGAACTTTATCCGAGGCTGATCCCCACTGGAACTGCCACTGGAAATCCCCCCAGTGCAGGGACCACAGAGACACAGGCCAGGTTCTCATGCTGTGCTCCTTTCTGCTGCGGGAGCACAGGGATGCCCCTGTCCCCATGGGTGAAAGGATGGAGGAACTGTGGGTCAGGCTGTTTAACTCGTGGGTGCCCACATCCGCATGAGTGCTGGGATCTCATGACCTGGCTGTGGTCTTCCTTCTTCCTTCCACAAGGGAAGGGGGTACAGGTTCTGCTTGCTGAGGGTCCTTAGAGGAAAAGGTTGTGTTCCCTCCCTATTGAACTCCTCCTTGTAGCCCAAACCCATCTGTGACCTGACATTTCTTGCATAAGCACATGACTTTTTGTATTTGTTCCCCCCTCCCCAAAACACCATAATGGGTCCTGGGGTCTTGCAGAAGTGGTGCTTTAGAAAACATGCCTGGAAGTGTTGAAGCAAGTTTCTGTTCCGCTTGGGGAAAACAGCCATGATGTGTGGGCTCTGGCTGACCCTGTCTGGGTTGTCCTCTTCTCTGAATCACACCAGTCTGGCAGGCAGAAAGGGCTATGACCTTGCCAGGAATGGCACTAACCCTTTGCTCCATCCCCAGGATCCCGGCATCAGCAGCACCAACCCCAACGGCTCCTACTGGCCTTTTGATGAAGGCTTGAGACGGGGCTTGTTCCTCAACACCACCCAAGGGCAGACACTCATCGGGCAGGTGAGGAGCTCTGGAGGGAAATCACAGCCCTGTGGCATGGAGCAATAGCAGGGCTGGGGTTTCATCCTTCACACTGGAAGGAAAGCCAAGTGGCCAAGGGACCTCTCCGGGATCATTGCCAGGGCTTGGCTCAGCTCTCAGCCCTGGGTGTCACCTCCTGGCATCTCCACTGCCCTCAGGAGCCAGCCCCTTGCCAGCAGAGGAGCCCGTGGATGTCATATGAGCTTAGTGGAGCTGACAGTTCTGCCCAAGGCTGGTCATCTGATTTCTGTCCCTTCCTGTTCCTGGGCTGAGGGAGGGTTGTCTGTGATGGACACGCGCCTCGGGATCTGCTCTGCAGTGGTTCCCTCACAGTTTGTCCCCCTTGGCTGTTTGCTTGCACCAGCTCTCCCTCGCTATCTACAAGGAGGAGGCTTTTAACGTAGCCTGAAAACATGGGGAAAAATGAATCAGCTAAAATTCCTGGAGTGAGGAAAAGTGTGCAGAAATCATGGCCTCTCCATGGCATGCCCTGGGCTAGGTGGTGTCAGGGCTTGTGCAAGAGGAGGCAGAGCAGCTGCTCTATCAGTTGCCACTGCCCATCAGACCTTGGGGTGTCCACAGCACCCCGATGCTCCTGAGTACCATGGAGGCAGGAGGGATGCTGTGCGTGCAGCATCCAGGACTTGAAGCAGTCAGCTTGGGCTTGTTGACTGTTTCACCCTGGTCCTTAAGCATGCTTACACCCCTGCAGTACCCCATTCTGTGTGCTGGCCCCCCACAAACCACTTGCTCACTGAACCCATCATTTTGTGGTGTCCCCACAGGTCTGGCCTGGCTTCACTGCCTTCGCAGACTTCTCCAACCCGGACACGCACCAGTGGTGGCTGGAGAACCTGCAGCGCTTCCATGCCCATGTACCCTTTGATGGCCTCTGGATCGTAAGTCCCTCCTGGCCCCCATGTCACTCCCTACCAGCAGGTCTGCTCATGCCCCATATGTGTCCTGGCAGGACCGTCTGCCCCTCAAATGCAGCTTTTCCATTCTCTCATTTCCATTCTATCCACTGATCCCCAAAACCTCCCCCTTGGAATTGCTCAACCATTTTCTTTGCTTAGGACATGAATGAGCCGTCCAACTTCATGGATGGGTCTGAAGAAGGCTGCCCACCAGGGGAGCTCGACAGCCCACCCTACACACCGGGTAAGGAGTGATATGAAATACAAGACTGTGCTCATAGGTGTGCTTGGAGGTCGCTGGCAACTGAGTGTGATAGGGAAAAACCATTTTTAAGAGACATCATGTCTCTGTTTCACGCGCTCAATGTCTCTATCCCTACTAGAATGTGCCAGTATCCACACCCAACCCTTGCACACTTGTCAGGCCATGTCAGGGTGCAGGATGGGACCATGTGCATGAGCTTTTGGTGCTAGGTTGGCAGTGGTGGCTGTCTCCTATGTGTGGGAATGCTGCCCCAGAGCCAGCAAGCGGGGAAAGGGGGATCTGCATCCCACCCCACCACGTGCTGACAGCGTCTCTCCCTCCTGGCAGCCGTGCTGGGTGATTCCCTCTCTGCAAAGACAGTGTGTGCCTCAGCAAAGCAGAAAGCCTCGGTGCACTACAACCTCCACAACCTCTATGGGCTGATGGAAGCCAAAGCCACGGCGAGGTATGCAAGCATCCCGCTTCCTGCCGGCCTGGGGAGGGGATGAAATCCTGCTGT